TTTATTTTTATATTATCACAATGTGATATAATGTTATGAATAATAATAGTCTATCTAAAAGATAAGAAAAATTAGTATTTTTAAGAGAATAACGAATTTTATTGCCATCGGCCGTCAACGATAGCACAATATTACCAACAATGGATAGACTTGAAACATGATATGAAACGGTCAAATTTTCTTGTATTATTTTTAAAATATTTTTACGTAGTTTTACTTGCGATACACTATATCGCAATTGCACTAAAAGATACGATACATTATTTTTTTTTCTTTAACAGGAAAAACGATAATGTATAACAGTAAAATGTTGGCATGAAAAAATAAAGACGTGTAATATATATACATATGTTTAAATAAAATACATGAGTGAAAATCGTAGAAGGATTGAAAAGAGTTGGAACTTAGGAAAACTGCCTGGCAAAACTCTAAAAGATATAATCGATATTGTGACAATCCGCGTATATTAAACTGATATTTAGAATCACCGAAAAAGTCTCTGTGTAAAGTCGTTTTATCTGTCGTTTTATAGGGCTAAACTAATTTCATGGACGAAAAATTAAAATTGTATATGTAACAACTAACATGCGGATATAAAGTGCGCAAGAATTGCGGGGATTTCACCACTTCTGACGTCATACTTCACCATGATAGGTGCACGTATCAGTTTCCAATACACGTACGCTATTAATTCCCGTAATATCACCGTCATTACCAACAAACCTACGCGCTACGTGATCGACGAAAACGCGCAATACAGTTTCCAACACCTGTTGCGCAATCGTTTCACGCGCGCAATTCGTCGACTGAAAATGAAAAGGTTTGCTGGTTCGCGAGCAAGAGAATCGACTTTTCCCTCCATCTCTCTCCCTGTCGAGAGTAGTGTAAGGCGAACGATTCTAACGACATGAATTCGACTAAACTTGCCACTTTAATAAAAACTACTATTGTTTCTCCAGAAATGTCTTCTTTGTGATTTAGAGCAAACTGAAAGAATAACGTGTTCAGCGTTTCAATGTTACTCTACATATACAATAGAAAATAAATAAGTCTGATAAAAATAACAAACAAAAACAATTTTATATGCTAAAATAACTCTGGAAAATAAAATTAAATTTCTAACATTTCTGATATTTTTATTTCATTCAAATAATTTGGAGAATTCGAATGAATAATATCAGAAATTAAAGCAACTTTATTTTAGATTATTTAAATATCGTTATCTAAATAATCGAATATTCGAACAGCGTTCAATCGAAACAAATTTTGAAACTTTATTCACAAGATTATTTCTCATTTGTTATTTATCTTTGCAATGTCACTTGCATTTCGCTTCGCTGACACTTTTGATTTCGCTGACTTAGCGCCAACTTTTATTACATCATAAAAGCACGATTCTTGGTATCTTCTCATCCAAATACAATCGCCGACAATAACAAATCTTTAGAATTTAACGAGCTATTATATGCGATCCATCGCAAGCATAGTTGCATCAATGAAAATGATAATTCTGTGTTAGGGATGTGTATGTCGCATCACGCATCATCAAATAGATGCGTAAGTGATACGCGAGCATGTATTACAAAACTGGCGTGATTACAATTATAGAGATAGTAGAAAATAAAAAGAATGATGGGTCATAATCCTTATCCTAATCACTCAATACTTCGTTCAATGTTAATCGTAATTCACATTAAAATGGACATAAAGATAGCGATTGTGAAACGGCGCTAACACGTAATTGCAGAAATCACAGTGGCAAGCATGTTGCAGGCAGAAAGGATTAGAAAGTGCACGCAAAAGAGAAAAAAACGTGGAAGAAATTAAACCGCGTTAGAGCAAGGAGCATTACGAGTAATGAGAAGAAAAAAAAATAAATGTAACGAGCGTGCAAAGAACACGAGTAGAAAGAACTAAAAGCACAGTGTTAAAGTATAAAACCAGTAAATGAGCATAAAAATGAGCACAAAAAAATTCTGCAGTATAAACGTACATAAGTGTCAGAAAAATAAATGTATGAAATCGGGAAGATAAGAGTCGCACTAAACGACTAAACGACGAAAAAAAAAGAATGAGAAAAAGTGTGCATCACGAAGTGTGAAAGAAGATGATGAATAAAAAGAAGAACACAAGAAGGCAGGAAGAGAACGTAAAGAACGGAGCTGACAAAAGCGCACCGTTAGGGTAACAGACAACATACGGGCGGATAAAAGCGAATACGATACGATGGGAACGAAGAGCGAAGACGAGAGGAAGAGTAAACCATTGAGCGAAAGAGAAGTACGCTCAAAGGGAAAACGGGCGAACGATCGACAGGTGCCGCGAAGAATTTCTGCGCGGCGTTACTTTATGGTACAGTCGAGTCGTCCCGTTCGTCTAACGGGTGGTCGCGCCTAATTGCGCGCGTTTCTCAACGCGGCTATCTGGAGAATATCTCCGAGACGCGAATGAATCGTTCAGTCCATAAAAGCGTGATAAAATAAAGTAAACTTATGGTGCAAATTACGAGTAATATCCTTGCCGCACCGTTGCTGTCGTGGCTTGTCTTACATGTCGTGATTGCATCCCGTTGACCAGCATGAAAGAAATTCGATCTAGTACTGATCCAGTAAATAATATTCATGTATCAAAATGACATATTCAAATGTTGGTTGTTAACAAGAACGGCAATATATAATGTTCAAATAAGAATATTTCAATGTGTGCTTTTGAATTAAAATTAACTTTGTATGTGTATTGAAGAAAACCAGATGATAAATATAATTATGAAAAGAAAGATAAAAGAAACATGTAACACATTCCACAAAAGTTTTGTTGACGTTCTATTTAAATATAATCGGAATATCATATATGAATATAGTTTTCACTTAACATCATGCACTATTATCAAATAATTTTGTATTACCTAATCGTCTTAATCATAACTCAAGACTAACATAGCTCAAGTAACATATAATTAATTATATCTTTCCTAAATGATTATAAAACATAAGTATATGAACCAACATGGAAGGAAAATTATGAAAGCTGAAAATTGATTTCGTAAATCTGAAAAAAATATTCAACGGATATCGTGTATTGTCTACAATCACGAGTCAAGAAAATAGAAATAAAAAACAGAAAAAGTCTTACTAATCTTTCAAAAATTTCTATTTCAGCATCGATAGCGTAGTTTCCTGATATAATATAATAGAAAATTGAATCGTAGAGCGTGGAAAGTTTAAGAGTCGTAAATGTAAATCCGCAATGAAAAACCTTTTCTTCTGTATAGTACGAAAATTTCAGTTTAAATTATTTATAAATTTTTATCGTTTATTTATTTTTTATAATTTATTTATCGAACTTGTACGTAACATCAAAATCACTTCATTTTAATTTCAGATTTAATCGCTGTCCTGAATCTCCATAGGTATAACGAACTTGGCACACGATGATAATGGAGCTTGTGCGTAATAATCAACTCACATATCGTGCTCTAAACATCGCGTTTCTCGCGGTGTGTTAACGTTATGCAGCGACTGCCCGCGAAAAATAACGTTTCGTTAAACGAGGCGACGAAAAGTGCCGTTAATGATGAAATCGCTGTGTTAGGTATACATATCTACAGCGCGAATCGCGATCTCGAAATAGTATGATAAACACGGTGTTAATGATTAATAACGATACGAACAAGATCGGCCGGCGCTGATAACTCACTCAGCCGAGCTCAGACATCCGCGTAACGGACGTTAATTACTTTTTATGTAATCACACTCATGGTGCCGGTGCTGCATTATTGCTATTACAGCTGCAAATGATTCAGCGATGGATAAAATACAGCGATAATTGCCCCGTTCATTGTACTCGTTAGTACTTTCTCTAGCATGATTATCGGATGGCATAATCATCATGATTAGCATTCGCTGCATCGCGAACGTCAAAGTCGCCTAAACCTTTTGCAAAGATATCACGTCGCGATGCGTCGCGTTGTTATACGATGCGGCGCATTTAGGTTCGAGAAAATATTCAGTCCAACAGATCTGATAATATCGCACTTTCTATGCTTTCCAATGTATCCGGGAATACATTTCGCCCACGTTAATAGTCCTCGATTTATGCAATCTTTCGTTGCGAATCGGAATGGGATAGGCAAGAGCGTTCTACTTGGGAACCCGCATAGGTTTCTCAGCGAATTCGAGTGAAAAGTGAAACCAATGAGAGGAGAGAATACGAAGATCAATAAAACCTTAAAGGATGTGTGCATCGAACTCAACTCATCGCTCGGTTGGTTACCGGAGAGAAAGTGAGGCCGCGCGCGATGACGGACATGATTTTCGTCGCGCGAAAATAGCGCGTCTGGCGATTTATGTGGCCGGGCGCGTAAGATATTTATGGCGGTCGCCATCCGCAGAGATTATCCGGCCGACTGATGCGGAAATAACGACCGAATACGAAAGTCTCTCGCGTTTTACGAACGGGCCATTACGTCTGCAGCTCGCCGTACTCGCCTCGGCCGTAACGAGCGAGTGCGTTTACCCGCCTGGCTGCACGAGCGGGGCGATTCCACAAGCTAGACCTTGCAACTGCAAATGGCATACAATGCGCCGCTCGTTTTCACCGCGCCGCACGCGCGGACATATCGCGCGCGTCTAAACGAGGCGCGCTTAATCCACGGATATAGGCTCGCACATTTTCAACAAGTGCGACAATGCACTGTTTCGCAATTAGAACGATATGCTTGTAATGCGCAATCTAATAAATTCTGAGAAGCGAAGAAAACTCAAGCACACAGATAAGAGAAAATTACGTAAGATTATACATTTTTTCAATAATCGGATAAATTCAATAGTCGCTAAAAAAAAATCATAAATAGACAATCTGATTGCTTGATATTTTAGTAATTAGGAAAAATTATTGTTCCGTGATGAATCGATGACGGATAGAAATCTGTGCGTGCGCGAATATCTGCGAATGTAATAGCATATGTAGGATTCGTGAGCATGCGAAATCCATTTACTAACCTGGCTGCAGGACGGTTTTTTCAGCAAAGATGTCGAATTGCGAGACGATAAATCTTCCTCGACGAGCAAGCTTCCTTTCGCTCGCGTTCAACGGCAACGTATCTCTGTCGGCTGTGTTTTGCTTCCTTCTCTCAAGGAAGAGATCTTTCTCTTCGGGGACCCGATCACCATTCACCGAAAGAACGTTGAAAGAACAGACGCGTATCGCATCGGTCTTGCGTGTCGCGCCTCGGTATTTCCTCAATATTTCATTCGCCTTTATACCACCGTCCTTTTGACTCCGGCGATCGGCGACGAGCGTGACGGAAAGAGTATCTCAAGACGCACCACAAAGAGAGGCAGAAGCGGAGACGCGACGCTCAACGGAGGTGTGCTCCGACGTTGTTCCACGGCGAGTCTAATCGACGGGATACCGTTTTAACGAACCTCCGAGCGCCTTAATAAGCGCTCGTGCAGATAATTGACAATGACCTGTCAGTCGGCGTGTGCAACGTTATCGCAGTTCGATAGATAATAAAGGTATCTTCGGAAGCGGTTTGCCACTGTCTCATTCTTCGTTCACAAGGCGCCGTTATTGCATTACGCGTTATCGATACTATGATATTGTTACACTTTTAATGATTCCTTAATTATACTCCTGCTGCATAAATACATTTATTTCTCCAGGTAGAAAGGAATCGCAAATAATCCTTTGTCCTTACGTAACTGCTGGAATAAGAATCTCAAGTCAGCAAAGTACGTGACTCCTGTTGTGACAAATTCATTTATCTCTTCTTTTGTACGGACAATTTACGATTTTTAATGACGTAATCAATTATTACATATCATATGTATATCTCGCGCTTCAACATCCGATAAAAATATGCTCTATCCACGAATATCTCTGCACTCTTTCAAGAAATCGGCATTCACTCTACTATTCCGATCGATTTCGTCCCGCATCTCTCAAAGGATCGAACCCGCGCCGCGATCAAAAAGACGCACTTGCAACAGCGAATCCGTAAACGTTCGATAAACTCTCGGCGAGCAACGACAACGCGACAACAATGACGGCCTCGTTATCACACTCGATGCGAAACGTTATCGTCACGACGACGACGAAGATAGTGTGACGCATCCGAGCGTGCCCGAAGCCTTGTTGTCGCGGTAAATGGCGCGGAAATCCAGGTTGCCGCGCATCGACGTGCGTCGACCTGAAGTCGGGCGAGTACACGAGCCGATCCACCTTCCTCGTCCCTGACCCGCTCAACCGGCGACCTCGATGAATCACGTCAGAAGCTGATCCCCTGGGCCGAGAATCGACGAAAGTTCACACGCGGAGAAGCGAGATCTTCAATCTCTTTCCCTTCTCTATCTCTCTCTCTCCCCCGCTTCACTTCACGATGACCTTCGATGAGCGAGGAGATTCTCGCTTCGATGAAACGATTATTGTAAGATGCAACTGTCGATGCACGATAACGCACAGCGTTCAGAATTCTGAGATAAAAAAAATTCCGAGAATCTACGTTTCATGAATTCCTTCGGAGCTTTTAAAAATTTTCAACGATAGAGCTTTGAAAACATCGAAGTGATCGCTAGATTTATTTCACATTTGCTCGCGTTGAAAAGGATACTGGACTGGTATCGATGTACCGCGTCTTACCACTTCGCTCGCTGTCGGTTCGTTCAACGGAGATTGAGACAACGGGATGGTCTAGGTTCTATTTGCACCAAGATACTTCGAAAAGTTTTCCGAGTGAGATGCAATCGCGACGCACTTGCCTCACTTGTGAAACTATAATAATCTTCCGTGAAACGTGTCTTGTCTATATTACTCTGAAGCATAAGCACAGTCTAATCGAAGTTTTGATCGAGCGTACAAACGAAGGAAGTTCGCGTAAGGAATTGGAAATTATCTCTTCCGCCTCGTTTCGACGACCTTCGATGTGAAGAGATTTTCGTTTAAAACGATTGGTATAGAATGCAACAATCACGGCAAATTTTGAATAATTTTAGAGGCGTTTCTGTCTCTCTCTCTCTCTCTCTCTCTCTCTCTATCGGAAGAGCACACGTCTG